TTTTGTGTCTTTGCATCAACTGTTTATCGTTCTTTCAGTCTTACCCTTGACTAAGAAACTATAACCCGCTCTATCCAAGCATCTTTCCTTTTTTTTTTTTTTAACTAAAATACTTGTATTAGGCAGTGTAGGACAGTTTTGAAAAAAGTAACAACCCTACATTTTCATATGCCAAAATTTCTTGGAAATTCCACACAAAAAAAAAAAAAAATCATCAGAAAAAACCTCACAATCACATTGATTTGAGGTCTAATTTGTAAAGATAAAGTACAATTAAAAGGAACGGTCGGGTACCTAAAGTACCAGCTGGCCATTTTAAAGCAGAAGACCAAGCAAGGAGACAAAATAAAGGATGACATCTGCCAAGCACTCGATTTCTATGGTTGTTTGATGACAAAAGAAAAAGAATTGGGTCACGCCTGTCTGATACTGTTAATTTTTATCAAAAGCATCTCGTTTAATCGTGGCGGAGGAAGGACGGGCGGCGAGTTTCTGAGTGTAATGGTCTTGACCTCTTCGGAGGAGGATAAATCTCTTGTACGCAACTATTATCAAAGAGCTCATTTAGCCTAATATTTCTTCATTTAAAAATAAAAAACATCTTGCTTTCTTTGTCACTTAACCCTTTAGTCCAAGTTTACTCCTTTCATTAGGCCCTTTAAAGGGAGGGGTTCCTTTTTTTTTTATTTTTTTTTTATATGAGAATTAGTTGTGGGATTCATTCTACATTGAACTTCAACGATCCGAACCGTCTATTTTGTAAGTCTTGATTTGTAGATCATCCTTATAAAATTTCAATTCAATCCGAAATCATTTGGTTATTTAATTATCACATGAAACTTCATTATTTCTCATAGAACAAAGTGTTCGTCAGTTTCTTTGAACTCAACTAGATGTCTCAAATACTTCCGTTTTGGTTAATATGTTGTAAGGATGATCTAAGATGTGCAACTTGAAAAATAAACGTTTCCGATTGTGAAAGTTAGATGTGTTGTGGCCCCACAACTAATCCCCATTTAAAAAAAAAGATTATTTCTTCCCTTAAAAACCTTCTTCATTTTATTATAAATTATAAATTTTTTTATATAAAGGACGAATTTAATACCAAATTAAGAATTTTGATTTAAACTCTACCGTTTAAATTACTAGGAATTTTGTCATGTGGCTTTTTGATTTCAAGGACCCCATAAATAGGAAAAAGGAATATGAAACTATGGATTGTGCAAATTGTGGCGCCGTTAACCAGATGGTTTTGTATCGTGTTGAATTGTGCATCTGGCGTATGGTATGAAGTGTCAGGATTTTGTGGCGCTCTGATTTGCTATGCAACTTGGATCCTGGTTTTCTTTACTAAATAACACATGCCATGTTTCAATCTAAAATTAGACTTCTAACTTACTAAGGTTTGGCTTAACTGATGTCAGCCTCCCTATGCATGTACCCACTACCTGACTAATATCGTTTGCCGTTTTTACCTTCACGCATCCTCGTTACTTTTTTGTTATTGATTTTCTTTTATTCATACGATTTAACAATAAAAAAAGTAAGAGAGATGTGTGAAAAGTAAAAATAAGTGCCGATAGCATCACCCTTCTCAAATTTGTCTAGATCGATAAATTTGTGACAGTATTCCAAGATGAAATAGTAATTAATTACGAGAAAAACAAAAAGTAAGGCCTTCCATTCTATAGTAGATCGGAAAACTGAGTATGGTTCCAATAATATAGAATTTAAACTTCTACAATTATAAGTGAGAGATCCTAGGTTCGATTCTCGTCAAATGCGAGTTTAAACCATATTATTGCTAGCACATTATGAGGCTAAACCCACCCCCTTCCCCTTAGTGTGGATAATATCGTTTGTTCATAAAAAAAAAAACTTCAACAATAGGCCAAAAAATTCGAATGCTTTGAAAGTGATTTTTATTTTTTACTTCAATATATTGAACTTATGAGTGTGATACCTACTCAATAAATAAAAAGAGAGAGAAAATAGGTAACAAATTATAAATAGATAAAAAAAAGGGAATTTTACGAAAAACTCTCGGTACTGTTTGTCACATCCTGGCCCGAGCCCTAACCACATCCCGGGCTTGACTCCACCGTAGCACGATATTGTCTGCTTTGGCCTCCGACCACACCCTCACTGTTTTGTTTATGGGAACTCCGACGAGAACTTCCCAGCGGGTCACCCATCATGGGATTGCTTTCGCGTGAACTCGCTTAACTTCGGAGTTCTGACGGAACCCGAAGCTAGTGAGCTCCCAAAAAGCCAAGTGCTAGGTAGAGATGAGAATATACATATAAGGCTTAGAGGATCCACTCCCTTGGGTGATGTGGGATGTTACAATCCACCCCCCTTAGAGGCTCGACGTCCTCGTCGGCACACTTCCGGCCAGGGATTAGCTCTTATACCAAATTGTCACATCCCGGCCTGGGCTCCGACCACATCCCGGGCTCAACTCCACCGTAGCACGATATTATCCGCTTTGGGCCTCGACCACACCCTCACGGTTTTGTTTCTGGGAACTCGTACGAGAACTTCCTAGTAGGTCACCCATCATGGGATTGCTCTCGCGCAAACTCGCTTAACTTCGGAGTTCTGACGGAACCCAAAGCCAATGAGCTCTCAAAAGGTCTCGTGCTAGGTAGAGATGAGAATATACATATAAGGCTTAGAGGATCCACTCCCCTAGGCGATGTGGGATGTTACATTGTTCACTTTAACGAAAAATCATATTTTTACACAAAAAAGTCAATCCTGGTACTATTCACTTTACCCTTTATTTTGTCCTTATCGTTAAAACTCAAAATTTTAAATTCATTTTCATTAGTTTTCCTAAAAAAAAAGGATGGATCCCACATTTAATATATAAAGCTCATGTATCAAACTCACACCATTATGATAATCGTGTAATACAAATTAAACTTTTTTCTTTTTTGAAAAACAATATTATCTACCTAAGGGAGTGAGGGAGTGGACTAAGTTTTACAATGGGTTTGTCATAATAATGTGGTTCAACTTCGCCTTTGATGAAAATCGAACCTAAGATCTCTCACTTATAAGTTAAAAAGAATACCATTAGATTATACAAATTAAACTTACAATGCATGATTCTTAAATATAAATATCACACTCACCAAAACACCGCAAGTTGTCTAATTAATTAAATATGAGAAAGTGGGATAAAATCATAAAAGCTATGATATTGTCCGATTAGCTCGAGGAATATGGAGTGATAGGAACTTGCATGACAGTAATAGAATCATACACTATGAAAGGAACTTACCTTGTTAGTCCAAGATAAAAATTAAAGAATAATTCAACTTGTCCAATTGTCTTTGTTCTTTTTATAAGGGATATGATACTTACGAAGAAATTTTCACAACCAGTCGTTAATTAACTCACAAACAAGCCCTAATATGCTACTAATCAAACTCACGTTCTCATATCATTTTGTGTCGAACATGATATTATACGATAAGATACTTATGAAGATACTTTTACAACTAGTCGTAATTCACTCACAACATCACAACAAGCCACAAATGTGACTTACTATCGAACTCATTATACATATACAATCATCATGTTAGCTTAAGACAACATTTGAGATACTCCAATTAAGTAAAGATTGAATATCGCTAAATTGGTCGGTAATGTACACAAAATTGTTCTAATTTGATCAATTTGGTCTTTAATTCACTCATAACAAGCCACAAATGTGACTCATTACCGAACTCATTATACATACCTAGAATCATCATGTTAGCTTAAGACTTTGAGACATTCTCCAATTAAGTAAAGACCAAATATCGCTAAACTTGTCGGTAATGTACAAAAAAGGGTTCTAAGTTGATAAATTTGGTTCTTGACACGCTTTAGGGAGAGACTTTGGCCATTCCAAATTTTGATTTCAAATTTCAAAGGGGCCAAAATAATGGCTAACTTCAAATATTCCAAATGCCCTTGCCTTGACTTTTATATGTGATCATCATAATGTTTGAGATTTAATAATAGATAGGAAGAATTTTCAGGGTGTACCACAAATCACGTAGCGTGGGCGTTGCTTCAGGCTTTTTATTGGCTTTTTCTTCCTCCTTGCCTTGCTTCTTCCTTCTCTTTTACTTCCCCAGTTCCCCTCCCAGCTGTGTAAATTAAAGGACTTCTATCATAAATGGTTTCTGGAATTGACCCGTCCATTAAAATGATTTTTGAAATTGGAAATTGGTGGATGTTGTCTTTGAAAATGAATATTGCAAATCAACGTGATCATTCCATCGTAATTTCGTTAAAAATTCTGTGATGTATGATGATGTGGTACATAACTGATTTTTTTCAATGCTGTGCTGTAGAAGTACTCAGTCTGCAGACAATCGAATAGAAAATAGGTAAGTAATTCATGCAAAAATATGACAAATTTGGGAGGGGAAAAAAGGAGTATTGAGAAGATTTATTTACATGTCCATAATTAAAAAATAAATATACGTAATATTTAAAAGAAAAAGAATTACTATACTTTTGACACGAGTATGTCGACCAATCGGAAACCGTTCAATGTACAGTTCGCAGTGCATTTCTTCAACATGCGTGTGGATTTGTAACAAGTGGTTTTTCTTTTCGAGTCGATCACAATTTTGCATGTGCGTAGATTTTTCTTATTTTATACTTTCAGCTGATAATTTTGCATACATTTAAAACGATGATTTTGATTATTTTGAAACGGCTCGTTACAGTAAAATAATGTTCATATTTACATTAATTTTTTTCGTCTTAAACTTCTTTTTTGTTATTGAAAGCATGCAGAAACAAAATCGTTTCAATACCGTTATAATACGCACTAAATAGACAATGAATCGTATAGAAATCTTCGGATTTAATACCACATCAACATCCACTACTTGTTTTAATTAAATTAAAACGTTGTGATCCATTCTATTTGTTAATGCTAATGAGGAAGTACAAATAGAAGACTCTTTTTACATGTGTTCGTTGAAAGTCCAATATTTCTCTGTGGAGTCCGGACGGTCTCTGTTTTCCCTACCTTCGTCCCTCCCAATTGCATCTGTGAAATCTCTGACAGACCTTCCATCCCTCTCTCTCTCTCTCTCTCTCTCTCTCTCTCTCTCTCCTCCCAATATTCCACCATAAAAACCCCTCCCCTTTCCACCGCCTCTATCCATCTCTCTCTCTCCCCAAAAAAGCACCAAAACCCTTCAAAGATTCCCTTAAAACACAATCCAACACTACAATCTAAGTAGGCTCTAAAACCTCAGCACCCAAATGTCCCGCCACAACTCCTCCTCCGCTTTTCCGTCTTGCTTCCGCCCCTCCACCTCCACCAACCGCCGCCTCCCACCACCGTCTCCGCTTCCTCCTCCGCCGCCCAGCTCCGGGCAACCCAACCTCACCACGTGCCTCTACCACACAGACCTCGCCCTCTTCTCCCTCACCTGGTCCCGCTCCTTCCTCGGCCGCTCCCTCCACCTCAACCTTCTCCGCCACTCCTTCGATTCCCCCCTCCCTCCGTCGCTATCCTCCCCTTCTTTCCACCTCCACATCAAGCCCTTCCTCTTCTGGAAGAAGCACGGCTCCAAGAAGCTCTCCCCCAACATTCTCCTCTACTGGGACCTCTCCAGAGCCCGGTTCGGCTCCGGACCCGAACCCCAATCCGGGTTCTACATCGCCGTCGTCGTCGACAACGAGATGACCCTCCTCGTCGGCGATTTGACCCGCGAAGCCTACGCCAAGACCCGGGCCAACAAATCAGAGACCTCTCAAATCCCAATCTTGAAACGAGAGCACGTCGTTGCCAAGAAAATCTACACCACGAAAGCCCGGTTCGGCGGAAAATTGCGGGAGATCCGAATCGATTACGGGTCGAGCGCCGACCCGACCCGGCTATGCTTCAGCGTCGACGGCCAAATTGTCCTGCAGATAAAGCGGTTGAAGTGGAAATTCAGAGGGAACGAGCGAATCGAAGTCGACGGGACTCCGGTGCAGATCTCGTGGGACGTCTACAACTGGCTTTTCGAGAGCGACGGCGACGACGGCCACGCGGTGTTCATGTTCAGATTCGAAGAAGGCGAGGAGATTAAAGAGAACAATTACCAATTCGGTCATCTGAATTCGTGGAATTTCGGGATGAGCGGGATTGAGTGGCGAAAGATGGGGAAGAGCTTCTCTTCTTCGTCGGTATCGATGTCGTCGGCGGGTTCTTCCGGCGGAAGCTCGTCGGTGATGGAGTGGGCGAGTACGGAGGAGAGCGAGCTCAACGGCGGTCCTGCTGGTTTTTCTCTGCAGATTTATGCTTGGAAAAGGTGAAGTCCAATCCAGTCCAGCCCAGTCCAATCCAATTTAATTCATGAAACTAGTACTATAGTGTGTTTGAGATGTTAAATCTTGGTGGGATTGGATTATATAATGATATAACTGATTAGCTAGTAATCTCTCACTAACCCATTTGTTTGTTGAACATAAATCGAATAAATTCCGATTTAATTGAAGCATATATACAAAATTCGTATATAATTAGAGCTAGCTAGTTACTAGGCAAGTAGAAGAGAAAACCCAGCTGGTTTTTTGTTGTTGATTTTTTGTATTGGGAGAATTGGTGTAATTTTCGTACTGTTTGTGTAATGAAGTTTGTGAAAGATGAAGAAAAACATAAGCATTTGCTCGCCCATCATGCTATTAGCTCAAGCGGTTAAGAACGTTTATTCGTTTAATGCAGTTAAGAGCGTTTATTCGAGGTTCATTTGTTGGAAGGAAATTCCCACTCAATGTTTGGGACTTTTGATTGTTTTAGTGGTTTGGACGTTATTTTTCAATTCACTACATCTCGATTAATAGTTTAAGTAGTTGAAAGAGTTTATCTGCTAAATGCAGTTAATAGCGTTTATTCGAGTTTTATTTATTGGAAGGAAATTCCTAATTATTATTTTATGCGAAGTGGTTGATTATTTTGAGTGGTTTGCATATTACTTTTCAATTCAGGACATTTCGGGTTTAAATTCTTAAGCAAGATATATTTTTTATGCTGAAAAAAGCAAAGAGATTCAAAAAGCGCAAAAATAAGAACAAAAAAGCCTTAAGCTTTTAAGATTCTGACATCTGGTCGTGAGCTGTGAGATTTTGTTTGGGACTATGGTAGGTAGTTCAGATGAATTTTTCCAAAGTTTGCGACACTGGGCATGTTGCATGTACTTTATTTATTTATATTTCTACTATTTAGTTTATTTTCTTGGTGTTTTTTTTTGTTTTAACAAATAATATTATTACACTAAAGTTCGAAGAGTGAATTATGCCTTATAATTTCAAATTCGTTTTTTACGATAATTGAACTTGAAAGTGAGAGGAATGCCACTAGCCAATAGGATTTTCTTTATGAGGATCGTGTTCGTTCATTGTAACTATTTACATTTAGTTTTAAATAAAAAATTTAAAATAATTTATGACCGTACGAAGTACGATGAACGGACACGATTTGTGGATTCCGAAATCCTCATAAAGAGGATTTGGATTTTGCCACTAGGAATTAAGCGGTTTTTGTGTGTGTGTGTGTGTGTGTGTAAATTAAATAAAAGCAATATCTTGGTCATTTAGGCGCAATTTGAACCGTGAAATTTGCTGACCGTCTCTTTGGTCGATAAGGGTGCGTTTGGTACGTGGGACGGGACGGGACGGAACGGGACGAGGCGTTCCGTCCCGCGTTTGGTGCGCCAAAAATGGGTGGAACGGGTTGTTCCACGGGACAGATTTTGAGTGTTTTTGCGTTCCACCTCCCCCCTGGAACGGGTTTGTTCCACGTTTGTGGAACGCAATGTTTTACCATTTTAAGACAAATATACCCCATGTCTTTTTCAAAAATTACACCTTCGTTCCGTCCCGTCCCGTCCCGTTCCGTCTGCGTACCAAACGCACCCTTAATAAACGGCGCATTCACACAACTCCTTTTATGTGATATACTTTTTTATTATTTTAATTTTTTTCAATCCATTTCATTTGATGATTAAAAAATAAAAATAGTATATAAAAAATAAATATGAGTGAGAATAACACCGTCTAATAAACTGTGATCGGACGGTAGATTGGGGTCACGAAAATTGATAAAGTAAAAGGACAATATTGGGCGACCAGACCTGGCCCAGAAAGCTAAAGGTATGAACCGGTCAAATGAAATGAATGAGTATTGGGACAGAAAAGGTCGTCAGATTCTTCAGAAGCTTTTCATGGCATAACTGGCATTGGTGGCAAGGTTGACTGCTGCCGGAAGAGACTCTGCTTTTCCAGTTTCCTCTGTACTCCCGCCTTGCATTTAAGTTAAAGGAGGGTTGAATAATCAAAGGATAATTAAGCTACATGGATAAATAAAGGTGTACGAAATGAGAAAATATATGTACGAAAATTATTTACGTAACATTCAAAAGCCAATCACCAAAGGATGATTCAGTGTTGTAAACGAATTCTAGGTCTGTATTTCATACAACTCGTCTTCTGTTTGATTTCTATAACTAATGAATCATACGATGATAGTTAAGGAAATGATGAAGTGACTTTGTGAGTCTTCTCAACCCCCAAATAGATGGACTGCCGGCGAAGCGACTATTTAATCTTTATATATAAAGTAACATTCAAAAAGCCTAAGTTATATTCGTGACGAATTATTGTCTGATCATCTTATGGATGGAATATTTTTCACTTAAACCCATTATGTCCTACCTAATGCGAAAATTGCTCTAATCAAACAGCCCTACATTTATTCACATACAACGTTAATCTGAACGTTGAATGGTTGAATGAGTAGTTTCATTGACAAATAAAACTCTTCATATAGGTTTCCTTTCTGTACTGGGTGTTGAAGCATCAGCTGCTGAAGTTGTCAAATTGGCGCAATAAGCTTTGTGATGCTATCCAATACGTGTTTGTATGCAGTCTTCTCTGCTAATATGAAAATCCCCCACAGCCTACCATAGGAAACAAGACTCAATCCACCTTATTTACGGCCCAAAGAGGTTCGCTTTCAGTCGGTATCATGCATGCATTGCCTTCTTTGATTTTTCTTTCAGTTAACTTTTGACAAGTTTGTTTAGGGTACAGTACCTTGATTAGGAAGAGAAGCGTTAGGATCCGTCGCTAGCATGTCTATGCTGATTCAAGAATTCATGCATGTAGAACTCAAAAGGAAAGATGCTTGCGCAGGTCACAAACCATTAACGTCTAAGATCAACTTGAATGCATTCGCCGGATTCAAGCATTTGCCTTTCTCATCATCATTTCAATTCAATACAATGTACCTAGTTGTCGATGTCGATGAAATTTCTACAATGAACCAATGCGTGAGAGTGCCAGCGCAGTGAAAAGATTGGATTTGCATGAATCACTGTCATTCTTGTGAATGCAAACTTTTGTCGTCTTCTCTTTTGATGAAAAAGTACCTGCAAAATAATAACACCTAAGAATAAGACCAAAAGCCTCACGCACCCATGATGAATGATGGGGACTTTGGCTGAAGAATCTCCGATGTCAAAGTTAGAATTTGAGAGAGAAAGTGTCTAGGAATTTTTGGGGAGAGAATGACCTTGCATTTTAGTGGGAAAACATGGCTATTTATAGGGGAGTGACCGGCCCTATTTGGAGAATAGGGGCTAGCCACATATGGTCAAATTGTGAGTATAATTGCAAGATATTATGTGAAATAATATCTTGCAACTAACTTGGCAATTAATCCCAAATTGAATAGGAAACTTAGGAATTACCTTTTGAGTGAGGATTTGATGAAGAGTGATGAGTGGGTTTTGAATAAATATCATTTTGATCACCTTTGACTCTTCCTTGATTAAGCCGTTATTGTCCGTTGTATGCGTGTGAGAATCCCGATGTGCCTCAAAGGGAATTTTGTCATTTATACCCAAAAGTACACGTGTTGCCTCCATAATTTTCTTAATTATTTTTTGCTCCACAATTCTAACCGACAAAAACATCAGTGAATTTTGCACACCATGTATTGTAGAAAGGGAAGTGATTTTCACACACCCTTTTTAGCGTTTCACGCACTTTATTTTATTTTTTTTATAGCCATCAGATTGAATAAACCAAACGAAATCAACAATCATGATTAAACAGGAGTGTGTAAGAAGCTTAATCAACGGCCACGATTCTCTCCCCTCCAAATCACCCTCTCCTTCTCTCTCATTCTATTTAAACGGTTACAATTAAACCATGTCAACATCTTGTTTTAACTTTTTTTATAGAGAGAGAAAGACAAAAAAGAAAGTGTGAAAGAAGGAGAACGAATGGGAGGGGATTAGGAGGGGAGAGAATCCTACTCCGTGAAACCCTTGTAAAAAATCTCTCGTGTTGATTCAAAGGTGGGGTTGAATTGAAGGTGCAGAGTTGTTGTCCAGATGCTTCTTGTAAAAAGAGGGCATCTCTCTCTGTCGAATCTAATAAAAAGGCACAACAGAGAGAGAGAGAGAGAGAGAGAGAGAGAGAGAGAAGGACTCAGGAGAGAGAAGTAGGGTTTCACAGTTCACATGCAGATTGTCTGTCTTGTCTTGCTCTGGGCGGGAATGGGATTTGTCGATTTCTTTCGATATTAGGTATCTTTACTTAACATTCACAAAACAGTGAACTGCTTTCAAGTAAAATTAATGGCATTCGTTTCTCCCTGTAAAAAAAAAAAACGAATTTAATCACCAAATGATTCACATTGCTTACACAAGTTATAAAAATAAGTCAATGCTTTAGTTGTAACATGCAAGCCAAGTTTCCAAGTGCTTTTAAGTATGGTGGTTTGCAAGTTTCTTAGAACTAGGGATTTGCGGGTTCATGAACTTTGAGCAATTTTCATCATCATAGCCGGAAAACTTGACAATAAGTTGTGGTTGTTAGTTTTAGATATTTTCATTTTACTTGCTCAATTCACATAAATGAAATAGAGTTTTGAGAAGCTTATTTGTGAAATAACCCGTACGAAATTGAGGTGTAAACTAATACTTCACGAGGAAGATCGGAGATTCGACTTAAGTACAAAAGGGGGCCATGGTCCTCTGGCCTAACCGAGATCTACTTTAGCAATCACTTTGCTATTTTGGTGAGTCTTTAAAAAATAATTTTAATTAATGAGACCAACCAAACCACTTAGTATTATGATTTAGTAGTATTCAACTTCATTTGTAAATGAGGGTTCCCGAGTTTGATTCTCTCTAAAGGCAACAAAGTTATTATGGTTGGTCTATTGTAAAACTTAACTCACTCCTCCGCTCCTCAGTTTAAATTAAAAAAAAATGAGACCAACCCACATAATATCTTGTAGGACTATTGTTAATTTAGAATCCATAAGCCGAAGCCCAAATAGTGATTGGGTTATCATAATACTGTGTGAATTAGGCCTAAGTAAGCCCAAACTGAAACGAAGACCAGAACAAGAACTCAGAAACCAACCACCGAGATGAGTTTATCACCAACTATCGAATCAAGACATCTCAAAAACCAGCTCCAACAAGCTGTCTTTTACCTAATCCATAATGAGAAAACCCACTAGGGTCTCCCACCCACCTACCCTCTACAATCCACGCTTACATTCATAGAGAAACTTTCGTAGGACTGTCTGTCATAACTTTCGTAGGACTGCCTTTCTATGACAAGTTTTGCACTAGGCGGGACCAACGTAAGATTGGAT